GTATAAACCCCGGGTGGCAACCCACCAGACCCAAACAAGCTTCCCTGTGTCCGCAGATCGGCACTAATTGAGGCTAGCAGCCCTAACAGACAGATCCTGGAATCTCAGTGGCTTTAACCCTTAACCCAGTAGAAGTTTAATTGCTGCTCAGGTCAAATCCAGCTGGCTGAGATGGGGGCTCTGCACCGTTACTCGAGGACCGAGGCTGACAGATGCCTGCCTTCGGCAGCTGGCCCCCAGGCTGCCTTGGGGAGAAAGGGGGACGGGGACCTCCCGTGGGAGGCTCTGACGGGCCGGGCCTCGGAGCGCCGCAGTTGCGAATTTCTCAAGTGGCGAGGAAGCCGGGAAGTGTAGTCCGGGATGCAGAGGAAACGTGGTGACCAGGAGCTGGCGTCAGTACCCTGGGGCAAGGACAGACCAGCCTGCTACCTACGGGCTTCCCGAGAGCCTGCGCCGTCACGGCCTGGCAGCTGTGAACCTGGGAACATCTGGGCATTCGGCGACTCACTCAACCAATGTGCCAAGTGCCGTCCCGGACGCTGAGGACACAGCGGTCAGACACACGGGGCCCGCGTACGGGTCCTCACGCTCAGGAAGAAGCCAAGCGGGGAACATACCTGTTAGGCACCAGGGCTCTGTGGCCAGGTCAGGGGCAGCCCGGTCCCCCTGATCTCTGCTACTCTCCCTCGGGTTCCGGCCCTAGTCAAGCGAGGTACTCACCCCGCCAGGGACCCGGAAGCCCAGGTGCGGGACGGGCCGGGGAGGCTCCGCCCCTTCCGCTCCACAGACCAGCCAATGAGGGCGAGAGGCCATTTCCGGGGGCGGGTCTGGTAACGGAAAGGGGCGGGGCGTCGTTCCCGAGCAGCCGCCTCATGCTTCTGCCCGCCGCTGGGGGCAGCAGAGCGGGACTCGAGCGCAGGCCGAGAGGAGGTGAGCCGGTCCGGCCCGCCGGGGTGCCTGAGCCTCCGGCGAACCCTGACCCCCAGATTCCGCCTGGACCCTGTCACAGTGTCCCCGCAGCAGGCACTACAGCCCGACCCCTCACCCCTCACCCCTCACCTCAGCCTCCTCACCCGCATCCCTCACCCCTCACCCCTCACTCTTCACCCTTCACTTCAGCCTCCTCACCCGCATCCCTCACCCCTCACCTCTCACCCTTCACCCCTCACCTCAGCCTCCTCACCCCGACCCCTCACCCCTCACCCCGCACCCCGCACCTCAGTCTTCTTACACCATACATGCTAACCCTGAGCTCCACACACCTTGCACCTCTTACCCTTCACCCCCCACACCTGGGCTCCGCACCCCCTCGGTTCCCTGACCTCTGGACGCCAGGCCGGCCCGGACGCTTCCTGCACTCCGCCTGCAGGACGCTCTGTTACTGCCCCGCTCGCACCCCGGACCCTGCCCTCCACAGAGGGGCAGGCTGCTGAGCCAGGTGCCCTTCGTGTCCCCTCGCGTTTCTCATTCCAGGAGGGGTCCAGACTCCAACTCTGTGTGCCAGGGACTCTTCGTGCCGCCCCCGCCCTGCCCGCTCTCTGCACCTCCCCGTTGCTCTTGGCAAACTGTTCCCACTTACCAGACAAGTAAGGCCAGCAGAGAGGATGGGGTCCGTGAATGTGGACCGGCTCCATGCCCAGAAAATTAGCTCGTTTACTGATCCCGAAAGACCGTGCGCCCTGCCCCTGCGCCCCGGTTCTCCGATCTGGCCCTCGCTCCTCCACCGGGACTCCTGCCCTCAACCGGGAAGGCGGGAGGGAGATCTCCTTTCAGAATCGGAGCTTTACTGCAGTCGTTCCTGCTTTCCTTTATCCAGCCAGCATTTATTGAGCACTTGCTGTTTCCCAGCCCTGAGCTGAACACTAGGAGTAATGCCTTGGAAAGACAGCGCCTGCTCCCCAGAACTTCACAGTCTACTCGTGGAGGTGGAGGAGTCCACAGTCAGGGCTCCAGCTGAGAGGCACCGTGGTGAGGGAGGCCCAGGGAGTCACGGGAGGGCTGAATGGAGGCCTCTCACTCTGCAGCAAAGGCCACATGCGTAGTGAGAACAGAACTCACATCTGTGGCCCGTCCCTCCCCGTTTTATGGTCACCTGGCTCATTCCTTCACCTCCATGAGGCTGTAAGCTCCCCCACTGCTCATATGGCCTTATTAATCTATTCCTCTCCCCTCCTACCTAGCACAGTGCCTTGTAGGTAAGTCAGTGAGCATCAAATATTGATGGAATGAATTAATGTATATTAATAAAGATCAGGGAAGGATCTGAAGTGATTTAGAGTTCAATATTTTAGATAACAATAGGTATGATTTACTAAGTGCTTATTATGGTAGGTATTGTACTAACAGTATATAACGTATATCATTTAATCTTTATAAAGCCCTGTAAGATATAGGTACTATTAATAATTCTCTTTTAGAAATTATAAAACTTTTGCAAATTACAAAAAAATTATTGTCAAGAAGATAAGTGAATTGCCAAAGGTAAAACAGCTAATATGGAGTGGAGCCAAGATTTGAACCCAGGAAGTTCCACTCTACAGCCAGTACTGTCTATAATGGGATACTGCCGCTAACGCCCAAGAGAGTCCTTCTGGAAAATTAAGTTGATTACAATT